GAGGGAGAAGCAGACTCCCCGCCGAGCAGGGAGCCCGATGCGGGACTCGATCCAGGGACTCCAGGATCATGACCTGAGCCGAAGGCAGCCGCTTAACCAACCGAGCCACCCAGGCGCCCGTATCAGCTTCATTCTTAATCTCATAGTTTTTGAAGAAGACATTGGCCTTAAAGTAATAGATGGCTTTATCCGCAGTATCTGTATCTTTTGTCTCTCTAGGGGCAGGTCCTTTGAACTGACTTCTGATAGGCAACAGTGCCACGTTTCCAATGAGTTTGGTGTCAGGGTCCATGAGAGAAGAGTGGTAAGCTGGCATCTTGGTGGCGCCCATGTTTCAAGCTAGACGAGGAGGTTGGGGCAGTAGGTATTATTCTTTAGTGACTGAGTACAAATTATAACAAATTTCTGATGAAGACGACAATGCATTGCTGACCAAAATTAGGTATGAACACAAATGCAGAATTTCAGCTATTTAAGTATGACATTTGGGCAGCTTTTTATTAAGTGGAAGGAACAAACCTCTAATTATAAAAGTTTCACAAGCCATGCATGTGCCAGTCTGACCAGCCTCGTTAGACCATTTATATGGTCTATTTATTGCACCTGGGAATCTAGGATCTTCTCCTGCCTCCATGAGCTGTCCTTATGCCCAAACCTATTTTATCCCAAGTTGACTTGCTAAAAGCGGCTACTATTCATTAAGATTCTATTATGTGAAATACAACTGTGTGTTACAGCAAAGAGGTGGAGTTGATTTTTAGTTAGATCTGGCCATGTCTAAACTCTCTGGGGACTTGGACTACATGATAGGGCTTCCTAGCATGTGTGCCTGGATGTGTGTGTGTTTTGGAGGGCTTCTTTGTTGTTGTGGGAGCTCCATGACCGGAGGAAGAAGTGGTCATGATTTCAGCAAACCTGTAACACTGTTCTAAAATCTTTTACAGAAATCTTTTACAGTATCCCTTTTTCAAGAAGTATACTTTATCAGGTACTTCAGTATATCTTACATTGTAATTTTGTAGATGTCTGCTGAAGTGCTATTACTTGATAGATTCTAAGATCAGAATTTTGGGGGAGCATGGTAATCCAGATTCAAGAAGAAATAATGTCATCGCTAATATTGGAAGTATCCATTCCAGTTGTTAGAGGTCATTAAATACTAAGCAAGATTATAAGGTGAGCCCTTACCTTATTTTAGAGGGGAAAAAAATGATTAAGTTCATTAAAAACCATTCATTTAAATATAAACAATGTAAATTATAAATTTTTGTATTAAAACAGCTTGAGCCTTTGCTTTTCACACATAATGTGCTATATATTCTCTCAACCTTAGTAAAATATTTGTTTAAGCATTCTATGATACAGAGATTTTCTAGGCCAAATTAGTGTGGCTTGTTTGGGTATATTATGAAATAGTCCAGACACACTAAAAGGCATAAAGAGTAATACATTATCCATGTACCTAACATCCTGCTTAAGATATGAAATTCTACCAATATAATGGCCCATGTACTTCTCTCTAATTGCATAATCCTTCCTTTGCCTCAGAAATAACAATTATCTCCTTTATTTATTTTTTAAAATTTTGTAATTATCTCCTTTTAAACATAATAAAAGCTATGTTTTTGAACTTTAGTGTAAGTGGTGGGGTACTATGACTCTTCTGCAACTTGCTTTTTTTTTTTCATTTGCCATAATATTTTTGAGATTCATTTATGTTGATGCATAGGTCCGTTCATTTTTGCTGCTTGTACTCTTCCACTGTATGCCATAATTTCCTTATCTCTTCTGTTGACAGACAAGTTGTTTCTAGTCTTTGCAATTAATTAACAGTGTTCTTCGTATGCATGTATTTCACAGATTCCCTAGGGTACCTTTGAATGAAATTGCTGGATCAAAAGATACCTGTTGGGGATGCCCACCTTCCCTGATTAAATTCTCATTGCTTTACACACTGTTCCTTGCCAACACTAGGTATTATCAGATTTTTTTTTAGTTTGTTAGTTTGGTGAGTGATAGGTCTCATCTTGAATTTCTCTGATTACTAGTGAGGTTGGACATCCTTTCTAATGTGTCATATTACAGGTATTGTTTCCTAGTATAATTGTATATTATGGCTGAAAATTATATGTAAAGTTGAAAGTACCATGAAGTAGTTACTACTAGATAGAAATATACCATAATTGTATCTTTAGAACATGGGCAACTTTGCAGATTTTTTGGGAGGAAATCATTTGGCATGATTTTCCAATAGCATATTAGAGCATGGACTTGGGAATTAACTGATGCTTGAAACCTGGCTGCATTGTTTTTTGTTTGTTTGTTTTTTGTTTTTAAGAGGGGAAGGGAGGGGCAGAGGAGGAGGGAGAGAGATTTATCATTTCGTGCCAATCAGGACATTAGTGACTGTGACAAAGCTGTCTAGGGGTCACAGTGGATAGGTGGGAGTAACCTTGGGACTCTTGTGGGTGCCTGGGCTCTGGCCTAGGTTTGGGGACTGTCAGTAACCATACGATGTGGGAGAGATGGCTGGGTGCCCTGGAGCTCATGGTGGAAATGCAGACTTGTAGATTATTATGAATTTATGTTATTTAGACTGTTCTCATGTCCCTTACCACAGGAATTTCTCCACATGGCTTCCAAAGAAGTGACCGTTACAGTTCGCCTCATTCGTTCATTTGAGCATCGCAATTTCCAGCCTATAGTATATCATGGAGTTAATTTGGACCAAACTACAAAGGAATTTATAGTATTTCTAAAGCAAGGTATGAGATGTCTTAGTCATTTTGCTTTATTAGTATTTTGAAAAAATAGTTGACTATTACATGGATGGTAATCTTTTAAAAATACTTTGAAAGATATTAATCTAGGTTCTCAGGTACTAGGTCACCTCCTGTTCTGTTCCTTGGCATCAGCCTGAAGTACCTTCCCGAGGCTCATTTAGCACTGTGTGTGCCCACCTCAGGAATTATTACCCTCATGTTTGGCTTCTACCTTTTTTCCCTCCTTTTTAAATTTTTAATTATTTGTTATTTTTTAATTTTTTGAAAGATTTTATTTATTTGAGAGAGTGAGAGCATGAGCTGGGGGGAAGGGGCAGAGGAGAAGCAGGTTCCCCACTGAGCAGGGAACCCAACATGGGACTCGATCCCAGGACTCTGGGATCATGACCTGAGCCTAAGGCAGATGTTTAACCATCTGAGCCACCCAGGCACCCACTTTTTTTTTTAATTAAAAAAAAATTAAGATCTAGGTTTTCTTATAATGGGTTTTTGTATTTGGAGGTTGATTAACAAGGGAATGCAATGTAGCTAATTGTGTTACCTGGCTGAGCACACAGAGGGCCTCACGGGTAGCAAGCTAGGAAGGTGGCAGGCCTCTGTACGGCCAGAAAATCATGAGAGCTGTTGGTCACTGAGATCACAGAAATGACAGCCAGACCAACTGGTGCTATTTTATCATTTTGAGCTTAAAATTTAATAGGTATGAAGTGAGCAAAGGCTTTCTTTTTCCCCAAAGATTTTATTTATTTATTTGTCAGAGAGCGAGAGAGAGCGAGCGCACAAGCAGGGGGAGCAGCAGACTGAGGGAAAAGCAGGCTCCCAATGTGGGACTTGATCCCAGGATCATTACCTGAGCCAAAGGCAGACACTTAACTGACTGAACCACCCAAGTGTCCCAAGTGAAGGCTTTTGATAGGACCTCGATGGGTTTCTAACCCCCGTTTTTTGGTTTTTTTTTCCCCCAAAGATTATTTATTTATTTGTCTTACAGAGAGAGAGGGAACACACAGGGGAGTGGGAGAAGCAGGCTCCCTGCGGAGCAGGGGGAGCCCGATGTGGGGCTCGGTCCCAGGACCCTGGGATCATGACCTGAGCCTAAGGCAGCCGCTTAACCAACTGAGCCACCCACGCGCCCTCTAACCCCTGTTTTTAATTATTGAAGTGTTCCAATCAACATTTGATAAAACATCTAGAATGAGCTTTGGTTATTTTAATTGAAATGTAATTTACATATGGTGTACAGATTATAGTTTCATGAGTTTTGACAAATACATTGCTTTATATCCATCTTAATTTTTTTTTTTTTACTTTGACATACTTTTAGACATAGAAAAGTTGCAAAAATAGGACAAAGAATTCCAACTTTGGGTAGTTTTACTGCTCAGTATTACCTGAGTAGGGAGTAGGCAAGGTAGGCGACCTATACAGAAGACAGACCGCTCAGTCTCCCTTGTAGTGACTGTTAAAAGATTTCATAAGGAGAACATCATTACTCCTTAAAGTAACTGTAGGCTGACATATGGAGCATATGTTGTTATTGCTGTGTTCTTAATTGTTAGGGGGAAATTGAGAGTTGGTACTAAGATATTGCCAATTACAGAGTGTCTTGCTTTTGAAAAGATAACTCCAGAAGCATATTTGGATTTTGAAATAAAAACAAATCCCTATATTTCTTATTTTGAAATCTTTATGCGTATTATGGATTACAGTGTTTCTTAGTATTGTCATAGTAAGTGCTACGATGTTCTTGGTACAGTGCAGGATAAGTTCTTCTCAAAGTCCTTGAGAATGAGGTATAATCTTCAGGTTGCTGCGGTGGTAGGGGAAAATGTGCTGTTCCCCACCCCACCCCCCCGCTGACCCCACCCCACCCCGGGTCACTGTGCTCTTCTCTTCCCAGATGCCATTGGTGCCTTCCCCATCAGAGTAGTAGTACGGATCACAGCTAGATGCTCAGCCCTGCCTGTCCACATCTTTCACCTGTGTTAGTAATAACATAACTGCTACTTATTTTAATTGTACATGTGGCAAATGTGTCCCACTGACTAAAGGGTGAGCTTTTGGGGTGTGGGTTCTTTTGAGTTGTGGGCTCTGTGCCCAAGCCTATCTGATTGGAGGCACTGTGGAACTTCTCTGAAAGGGTGGTGGGCCACATATCTACCTTTTATAATTTTGTACATAACAAAGACCAAAGAGTTTATTTCTGGGGAATTTTTCAAGTTAATGAGCAAAGCAGGGGAAGTGTTAGAGGGAGAGGGAGAAGCAGACTCCCTGCTGAGCACTGAACCCCATGTGGGACTCCATCCCAGGGCTCTGGGATCATGACATGAGCTGAAGGCAGATGCTTAACCAACTGAGCCACCCAGGTGCCCCTTATTTCATCCTTCTAAAGTAGGAACTGTTTTATCCCATTTTATAGGTGAAGAAGCTAAGGAACAGAGAGGGTAAGAAACTTGCCTGAGGTTACATGGCTAATAAAAGGCAAAGCTGCAATTCAACCCAGGCAGTTTAACTATACGTGTACTATTTTATTTATTTATTTAAAGATTTTACTTATTCATTTGACAGAGAGAGACGCAGTGAGAGAGGGAACACAAGCAGGGGGAGTGGGAGAGGGAGAAGCAGGCTTCCCGTGGAGCAGGGAGCTGATGCGGGGCTCGATCCCAGGACCCTGGGATCATGACCCAAGCTGAAGGCAGATGCTTAACCACTGAGCCACCCAGGTGCCCCAACATTTAAAAAAATTTCTTTAAATTTAAATTCAGTTAATTAACATATAGTGTATTACTAGTTTCAGGGGTAGAGTTTAGTGATTGATCAGTTGCATATAACACCCAGTGCTCATTTCATCAAATGCCCTCCTTAATGCCCATCACGCACCTCCTCTCCAGCAGCTCTTAAGTTTGTTTCCTATAGTTAAGAGTCTCTTATGGTTTGTCTCCTTCTCTGTTTTTATCTTATTTTATTTTTCCTTCCTTTCCAGTAGGTTCATTTGTTTTGTTTCTTAAATTCCACATATGCATGAAATCATATGGTATTTATCTTTCTCTGACTGACTTTGCTTAGCATATGTACTCTTTTTTTAAAATTTAGATTCAATTAGGCAACATATAGTACATCCTGAGTTTCAGATGTAGTGTTCAATAATTCATCAGTTGTGTATAACACCCAGTGCTCATCACATCACGCGCCCTCCTTAATGCCCATCACCCGGTTACCCCATCCTCCCACCCCCGCCCCTCCAGTAGCATACATTCTCTTACACACCACACTACGTTGCCTTTCTTCTGATCTACTGCCTCACTTGTGAAGTGGGATCTCCAAGGTAAATGGATTCACTGTGTCTAGAGTCTTTGCATTGAGTTCCCCTTGCTCTAGTGTTTTGAACCCTGAAAGCTAGAAGAGTGGTTTGACACCGTGGCATAGTGAATTTTGCATACAGCCAGAAATGGTCATTGTGATGAATGATCTTTTGGGGGGAGGGGTTATTTTAGATGCCTTGTTGCCTTTCTAACTGTTCACCTTTTGCCATCCTTAATCTAGCTAGTGTCCTTTCATAACTGTCTGTTTTTCCCTCAGCAAAGGAACTTCGGTTAAACTGGATTCATACTTATTGAGAATCAGTTTCCCAACATCATGCTATTAAAACCTAAAGTTGTGTAAATATAATAAATATAAAAGATTATATTTATGTATAAGTATGTAAATATAATAAAATAAACCTGTTATGAACATATGGGGAATGGATGTTAATCAGATATTCTGATCACAGACGTACCCTGTATACTACCTTACATAGATGACTAATTTTCTAGATTCAGAGTAGCGTACAAATCAATTATCTAGATAATAGAAGACATTTTAATTATTCTTTGATTTGGAAGCTTTTAAATATTTTGTAATCCTTCAGGTCTTGATTCTGAATGTAAAATCAGTCCGCCCAGGAAACAGAAAGAAGCTGTAGAGGATTTGCCCAACCTTCTAGTTCAGAGCTGCTTCCCTATCTCTCCTTACTCCTTGTGGTATGTTGCTCTGTAAAGCAGCTGTTCCATTGGGTGAATACTAGGAGAGTTAGTTTCTTTGTATGTTTCTTTGTATCTGATGCTCCTGTCCACATTTTCCCATGACTAATGTCTTACCTTAGTCTGCTACATTTATTGCAAGGAATGAGCCAATATTGAGGCATCATTAACTAGTCTATGGTTTCTTCTGGTTTCCATAGTTTTTACCTAGTATCTTTATTCTGTTCCAGGATCTCTTCTAGAATTGCACACTACATTTAGTTGTCATGTCTCCCTAGGTTCCTCTGGGCCATATGGGTTCCTTAAATCATCTTCCCTGCTTGATGGCTTTCACGGTTTTGAGGAGCACTGGTCAAGCCTATTGTAGGACAGCCCTCTAGTGGAATTTGCCTGCTACATTTCTCATGATTAAACTGGGGTTATGGGTTTTTGAGAGGAAGGCCATGAAGGTGAAGTGTCACTTTTATCCTGTCATATCGAGGACATGTACTTTCTACATGATTTTGATCATTGCTGTTAGATCACCCGGCTGTGGTAGTGTTAGGCTTCTCCACTGTAAAGTAGTCTTCTCTCTCTTCATCTTGTACTCTTTGGAAGGCAGTCGCTGTGCACAGCTCACACACAGTTCAAGAATGGGGAGTTCCGTTCCCCCTCCTTTACGGAGTAATATCTACATCATTTATTTGGAATTCTTCTGCAGGGGAGATTTTGTTTTGTTGTGCAAACTCTTCTGGCTCTGGCCACTGGGGACCTTGAGTTGTCTTCTGTGCCCCTTCTGTCTGTGTGCGTGTGTTGGGTACTTTCTCACTTTCTGGTGCTATAAGATGCTTCAGGCTCATCGTGTTTATATCCTGCCCCAGTCCCAGAATCAGCCATTTCTCAAAGGAGCCCCGGTTCCTGAGAGCCAGATCTGGGTGCTAGCTGTGCTCACTACTCCTAGGGTATTGTTCTTTAAAGCTC